TGTTAAAATGTTATACCTTCTCCAATAAAAGGTAATACGAATCACTAATTGTTTGATTAAAACATACATCTTGTTTTAAATATTCAANCTCTCTCAAATAGGGCTCCAAAGATTTACCTGCTATTTTCAAAGTGTCAGAGTGTCTATTCTCTAACAGATAGCCCTCAAAGAGTTACCTGTTATTGTCAAAATGACTGTGTGTCTACTCTGTCAAAGAGGGGCCTCGAAGACTAACCTGTTATCTCAAAAAGGACCCTAAAATATTAGAATCGGTGCTCGTTACAGACAGTTTTTCCTGATCGGCACTTAATCAGCGTACAAGTAGAAATGATATAATCGTCTGACTTTCTTTCAAATCCAAAAAAATAGTATTGTATATTATGGAAAGGATTACTCTTCAACTTATATGAAAAGGGTAAAGAAATGTTAAGAGATATATAAATTTAAGATTTTTTTTTAGTGATGTTAAGTGTAGCATTTTATCTGGAACTGTTTTGCAAAGGAGAAGGAGGAAGGTAAGCTTGAAGAGAGGAATTTTCAAAGAGTTGGACTTTCAGGAAACCTGTGTTTATTAATAATCACAGAAGCAAGTGAAAAGATGCAGTCGTCGGAGAATAAATAGTATATAGAGTATATTGTTTTTCAACAAAGCAGTCGATAACTATTTTAATAGTTTAATAGTTACTATTTATTAAGATTACGGTAATAAATAATTAATTTGGAAAGTGTGGAATATCTGTGAACTTTCATTTCAACAAATTTTATTGACAAAGTTGTTACAAGTCAATTGGATGGAATAGCAGGCAAAGCCTATATAAATTCTCTCACATCTGTGAGTTTCATAGTAAAAGTGGGGAGCTTTTCTTCTTCATCAGTAAAATTGCAACCGTTTCTAACAAAACAAAAGGGTACACCTATACCTGCATAATCGTTCACTACGAAAGTAAAAGTGAGTTCAAGAATGGATTTTCTGCGTAGACAAAACATAATGTTATAATGGATTGTATGGGTACCTTCCATTTTTTCTGCCGTTTTACATACTAGGCCTATAGTATGTTTCGGAACACTCCTATTTACCCTAGTAACACCGATGACTCCTCACTTAAGAAATGGCTATATAGCCAAAGAAACATTTACTTTGCCTGGCTTTCTGTATCAACAAAACGCATTTAGATTTGTGTTTATCTAGTGATTATAACATACTTTTGGGCAACAATTGAATTTCCTAGAACGGAATAACCGGACATGTAGATAATAAATACTTTGAATTGCGCCAATGTCTCATTTGATGGAATACAATGTACACCTGAGGCGAACAGAAAGTACAGGTAATCTAAAGTAGGGAAGAGTCAATTGAGTCAATTTTTAATAATATAATATTCAAGAGTTTGAAAGTAAGACAAAGCAACTATGTTTAATAGTCTAGTAAGGTGGCTGAGTATTGTAGAGTTTATTGATTCCAAAAGAAGAGTATTCGTTTGAACGCTGTGTATATAATTGGATAACCATATAAGGTAGGACGGTATTCTTATTGTACAATAACTATTTACAATGTTAAATAGAAAATATTATGGAAAACTCTTTAGGTGTGATATAATTAGATTTTTGAAAAAGTGTAATTTTTAGAATTAACACTAGAACTACATAGAAATGAAGAACCGCTTTAAAAACTAGTGAGGCGAAGCAGAAAGACACACAAAGTCAACCTTTTCACTAAACTATCTCATAACATTACTTAATTTATTGTTATTTTCCTCCTAAACTTTCTTAAACTACAATGGCAGAATTTAGTAAAAACGAGTGTTAATAGAATAAATGGAGAGAAAGAATGTGTAATAATGATGTATTTCCATATTTAAGATAGTTCATGGCGAGTTGACTCTACATCCTTTGTAGAGTTTATCAATCAAATTCCCACACTGCAGAAGCATTATATAGTATGTAATGAAACAGGTTATGAATAATAGAAAAACTGAAAAATTATGTCACAAATGTGAATTCATATATAAAGGAATTGCAGACCATACAACATTATATTGCAAATATATCGAACAATTACATGAGAACAATTACTAAACACTCTCATTACAAATTGTTTCCTCTATTGGTGCGGTTAACTGTGTACTTTGAATGGCTTTCCATATATAAAAACAAAATGTTATAATAGGTCCGTCATTTCTTCGTATTTCTATGAGTATAGATTGGTGTTAAACTGTGGTAGTTTATTACATCAATATATATATCTATGTCAGTAATAGGAGTTTCCTCTGACAAAAGTCAGTACGGAGTCAATTATGATTTGAAATTATTTACAAATCGAAAAAGGTTGTATACAAATGTACACGTACATGCCTAAAAGATGTCGCTGATACTACGATGATAGCAATGCACACATGCGTTAAAGGGGTGATATTCACAAGCGTTTTATATGTACATGTATATATTCATGCCTTTCAATTTCTAATGTTACAATTGATGAATGTAATTCCTTTAAAAGCAATTAAGATGTGCTCTAATTAACAAATATCACAGTTTCTATGAAGTATTCATCACGGGGTGTTATAATATAGAAAAAGAAGAGAGAGAGAGAAGAGACAGTGAGTAAGCAACGCGGACGCAGGTGCGTACACATACTAGTATGCATGGCAGACGGATTTTTACGCATACACACATAAGTATATAATGTCAAAAGAAATTGAAATTGTCTGTGCATATGCAAGTTTAAAATAGCAGGTAAATTATTTCAATATAAACTAGTATAAAATGTCAGAGGAATTATTTGTACATGTACTAGTATATATAATGGCAAAAGAAATTATCTGTACATGTGTTTATTTAAAAAGCAAGTAAATTATTTCAATATATACTAGCATAAATGGTCAGAGGAATTATTTGAACATATATATATATTGGAATAGAACTTGTTTATTTGTGTGTATTTATATATTGTCATATAAATTACTTATACACACACTAGTAAATGTTGACGGAGAATTTGTTTTCCAGTTTACCACTGTAAAGACAGAATTTTTCATAGAGGGATTTATTTAAGTTTATTCATATTTCTCGTATATTTACAAAAACCCATTAAGGTAGTAGTTATATTGATTTCTATTGGGCAGCTCCTACAAAGAAAAGGAGAAACAACAACACCAGAACAAGACTGGCTGCACAAGATGTTGTGCTCAGATTACAGTGGTTGTCACCATTATTTACTTCTGAACATACTAAATTCTCACCCGACAAAAGTTGTATCTATACGATAAAGTCTTTTTACATGTTATCTGTATATAGTTCTATTTTATCACATATTACCACACAACGATAAAGATATTAGGTTTTGATAGTGCAGTTATCAACCATACATCACATGTGTTTCTGATGAAAATAGGTCTGCCATTGTTGCAAAAATAAAAACAACCTAAAGATATCGAAAAATATAAGGTAATATTAAATCCTTGACAATTTCCATTTGAAAGGGAACGAAAAGTTACAAGGAACAGCTTTAAGTAGGATGTGTCTAAATATAAACTTTACTTGATTTCTTTTCTTTTGCTTACAGTATAATATAATGCAAAACATTATTGTTGAAATAGGGTTTGGAAACAAGTTTTAATCTTATATTAATCCATCTCCAGTCGAGGAAATACATACGAGATTTAAGGATCACATGATATATGACTATATAATATTTGAGGAAGAAATATGCAGCAATGTGCTGTGTATAGGAGTGAACAACGGGAAATAGGGAGGGTAGGATGGGAACGTGTAGGGAAAGAGAGTTACTCAGATGCACAAAATGTGTTAAATAATGGAAAATAACTAAGTATAGAGAGGAGGCCACAGAAAACGACAGGTATACATGTGAAAAATCAAAAAAATCATTAAAATCTTTATGAGCTGATAATAGAATTTTCAGTACAGGAGAAAATTCGTGCATTTTCATCATTTGACAACTAACTCATCATCAACAAACAGCAGTAATTCAGTCGAAATTGTTGGACTATCAACAAGATTTCTACGATACATGTAAAATTTCAGGGAACTGATCAAAATAAGCTAAATGGTTCATTACCCTGTTGCAAGACAGGATAAATTCACTTGTGTATGTGATATTCCCCTTGTTTGTTCATGCAGGGTTAAACTTAGGTTTAACTTGGTTAATTTCAATGTATGAAGTCAGCAAACCTAGTTAAATCTGTTATAGACAGCTTCTGTGATAACCAGTCAAGCGGCAACACTCCATACAAATAAACCTGTTTATACTTGTGTGGAGAGGGAAGATGTCAAATGTTTTCTTTTTTTTCTTTTATGAAATATAAATTATAAAGACGGTCGCAATAAATCCAGTTGCAATTATTCGTAAATAAACTGCGCCCTTGAATAGCAATTGTATTTATTTATCCATCGTCGTTGCTCTTACGTGGAATTATTCAAATTCTAGCCATGTTTCCGACTCGAGTGCGTTCATCAGCAATATTACACATCAATGGTGTATACACATTAGAAAATAAAACATAAGTTATTAAAAGGGTATTAGGAGTAGATTGTACGTTTTCTAAAATATTACAATTTGTACAAACCCAGTTTATGAATATTATTTCAAAATAATGACATGTTTATAGTATGAAAACTATTATATTTATTTTACGAAAAGTATAAAATCCGAAGCCTATGGCGTGCCAAATGTTGCATTATTCAATTATTTTATATTAAGGTTCGAAAATTTTATAATTGTATTCAATAATTGTGAATATATGTGCAATATTTCATATTTGTATTCAAAATTGTAGACATATGTTCAATAACAAATATGAATATTGAAACGTATGACACGCCATAAAGACTTTAATTGTGATGATGTATGCAGAGGTTTCGGTAATGAGAATGACAGCGAGCAAAGTGAATTCAATACAGCGTCAATATGGATATCATGTTGCCATTTACCAGAGAACGTCAAGAGTGCACGTGCGGAACAGGTAAGTAACGTTTATACGTACCTGGACCACGTGGTTCAGTGGCTGCTGATGACAACGCTCTGTAAGCTGGCGTCAATGGCTCCGTGAGGATTTACTGGTTTTCGGGTCAGTAGAGGTCCCCGATCATAACGGCAAAATGGGACACGCTTCAGTGGTCAGCTACACGCTCATAGTGCCATAAAATCATATTGTAAATGATACACAGGTAGTTCCTTTCTTAAGGTGACGCAATTACGGTTTGAATTCAAATCCAGTATAAAGGTCTAGCTGTGAAGCCTCACAGACAGCCTTACAGGGGGGAGATACACAAAAATGCCACTCAATTCCGATAGGCAACTCGCCTTTCATCTCATCTACGGAAAATAAGAATAAACTAAATTCACCATTTGTATGAAAAGATACCATTATTTTCACTTTTCATTATATTTATTCTACAGGTTTTGTCACAAGAAATAACAACGATCGCGGAGTATGTGGAGCGACGGATCTCTCGCTAGGCCTGGTATACAGTCGAAGATATCAACCGTGTGGTTTGGGATAGCGAGGCAGGGCGCCTTTTGTTCACTTAATATTATCAACTTGATTTTTCAGCATAAAATCAGCTTTGTGGAAAAATGAATAAACTTTCGCTTGTGGATTTTTAATCCGGCATCACAATGGCGGTGTTGAGTGCGTTGCCACTGGTTTGTTTGTGAGAGAACGGACAAGGTTGGGGAGTTGTAGAGGGAGGGGGGAGGGAAGAGGGGAGGGGGCACTCTCTCATGTGAATGTTATCAACAGACTATAATAATGCAAATCAACATCCTATTGGCAATAATACACACCGTCTGTTCACAAATACCAACAAGGAGAATTTCATCGACCGTTGTCATATGGTAGATGACAGAAACGATGAAAAGGAAGCGAACAGACAATAAAAGTGACGAAAACGAAACGAACTCAATTAACGAAAGGAAAAACTAGTCGTTTTGGCGTCTTGTTTGTTAGGATAAAAGAAGGCGAGTAACAATTAATTCAATTAAAACGCATTTAAATAGGAGCGTTAACAATTGAGGAACGAAAAATTCGTCATCGTCATTTTCATCTACTTCGTCTATTTAGTTTGTGGCACGGAAGCGGTATTATCTAATTGACTTCCGCTTGAGCAACACACCGTGTGACGTCCATCTCGCGACCGACAACAGCCAGCTTTAAACAACTTCTATTACGAGTGTTTCAGTTAATATCACTTATTCAATACGAACAGTTTCAATAAATGTATAAATATATACTCGTGAATGTCAACAACATAGCACCTGTTTAGAACAGGCCCCTGACAATCCGACAAACAGTTTAAACAAACATATATCTTGAAAGACGCCTACGCAGTTATGTTTCGTCACACGTTGAACTAAATGACAGCGCGTTAAAAGTACATTTAAAATTAAAAGCTGCGTATTCATCACGTAAATTGTATTTTATCGAACTCATCAATTTTCATATATTTTACCGATTTCAGCGTCTTCAGATAGAAACATGCCGCGAAAGAATCAGGGCACTGTCTTGCGTAAAGGTCATAATAGGTGAAGTGGAAAGGTCACACTAGGTGAAGGGTAACGGTTAAAACATATGTGAGATAAAAGTTCAGCTGGGGAGCAGGTAAAAGTTATATCAAGTGAGGAATAAGGGTCAGTTGAGGTCAACTTGAGAGAGTAACGGTCATAACTGGTGGAGAATGAAGGCTATACCTGGTCAAGAGTGAAGGGCATACCTGGTCAAGAGTGAAGGGCATACCTGGTCAAGAGTGAAAGGCATACCTGTTCAAGAGTGAAAGGCATACCTGGTCAAGAGTGAAGGGCATACCTGGTCAAGCGTCAAGGTCATATCCTATCAATAATTTGTAAAGATCATACATGGAGAAGAGTAAAGATTTACCTGGTCAATAGTGAAGGTCATACCTGGTCAAGCGTCAAGGTAATATCTGATCAATAATGAAGGTCATACATGGAGAAGAGTAAAGCTGTACCTGGTCAAGACTAAGGCTCATGCAGGGTCAAGTTAAATGTTATATATGGCCAAGAGTGACGGTCATGCCTTGAGAAGATAAAAGATTTACCTAGTCAAGATTGAGGGTCATACAGGGTCAAGTTAAATGTTATACCCGAGTAAAAATGATTCCTTGTCAAAATCACATCTTAAACATGAAAAGTAAATTTCAACTTTAATTTCGTGATGCAGTGTTTATTAATTTGAATTAAGACCAGACAAAATACAAAAAAAAAACAAAAAAAACTGCAGAGATGTTAGCGCGTGAATTTATTATGGCGGATCTTGTTATGTACTTTGGGTCGATTTCTTGTTCGTCAATGTAATCAGTCGAAGTCTTACACACAAAAACCCGTACCTCTTACGTGTCGGAATGGCCTTTATTTTTCACCTATTATCGATTGTTATTTACTTAAATTCAATAAAACGTGTCTAAAGTTGTAGAACACGTGTTTTGTATTCGGAGATAGCATCCCATTAACATGTTACCTGTGTATACCTGTGAGGACCAATACTTTGTCTGGAAAATTATAAACGCTTGAAATGAAGTTTTGTGCTTCAAAAATCAATAACATAGGTTTTTAACTGAACTTTGTTATCGCCTAATTTACATATCGGGACATTTGAAAAAAATGATTAAAAGCATCCAAGTAATGAAACGTGGCGGGATATCTTTTAAAGTATTGAAAAGATCAGAATGCGAAATATCGCTTTAAGTTACAATATACACGAATCGATCTACAATATGTTTTTTGGTGGCTTTTATGGAAGAAAAGTATTTGTAGCTTGTCTGGGGGAGTATTGTCAATGAGATGGGTGAGTTTTGGTACCTGGTACACAGGTAATGTCTAAAACATCAGTCAGGAAATCGCATGTAAAGTTCAGTATTTTTACATTTGTACATTTTAGTAAGATGATTAAATTTACCATAATTTATCGGAAAACCAAACAACCGGCTTTATTGCGTTTTCATCCAAAATTGGAAAAGGTTGGCAGAAAGAACAAATTTATGAAACAATTATATCTTTTTTAATAATCGCTTTTGTTGGCCCGAATGTGAACGCGCGTGGGCTCTTAATATGGCAAGAAACCTGAAAATCAGGACCCCACCCCCCCAAAAAGAATTGGTCAATCGAATTCTTGGTGATGCTGATTGCGTTATGTAGGGTAAAAAAGGTTCGGAAATAATGTGTCAAGTGAAAATCAAATCGAAAGAGAATAGAAACACTCTTACCGAGGTATTTTAATTAATTAGACATCCACGTGCAAAACAAGAACGCCAAAAGTGGAAGAAATCCAACATGTTTCTTAGCGGTACACACTTTCTGGCACCAATGATCCCCTCATCCCCTCATGGTGTATTAACAAGCGAAAGGGGGNNNNGGGGGGGGGGGGGATGTTATAAAGTATCTAGTAATTTTTCAGCTAAAACGATTTTTTTAACAATTTCTATAAAAAGATGACGTCACAAACAGGTTGTGGGCGGAGAATCTACAACAACTGACTACATTGCTGATGGTCTGAATTCTATGTTCTAAGTTATTTCCTCCAGTTAATTTGTAGACAGTAGTTAATGTAAACGTTACCAGTAAATAAAAAGGGAATTTACGAGCAGATATCGTTTTGCGTCCATTTTAGAATTGCTTCATTCGCTTATTCTGTATTCTGCATGGTAATTTCGCATTTTTGAGAGAGAGAGAGAGAGAGAGAGAGAGAGAGAGAGAGAGAGAGAGAGAGAGAGAGAGAGAGAGATACTCAGAATACATCTGTGAGTCGCCGTCAACAACTCATTTTTTTACAAAAAGCCTTGACTGATGACGTTATGTACTGTGTTTATTGATTTATCTACGGTAACCGTAAAATGAAACCCGCTATGTTCCATCCGAAACAATACGTATTTCTCATGAAATCACTTTAGACAGATAATTCTGATAGGGGAGCAAAAGGCTGTTGAAGCAATAACAATATACTCAGATCAACCGTCAATATAACTAACCATTAAAATTCATTTTCCATCCACGCAGAAACGAGGACAGCCAATAGGGCCGGGCGATGCCTATCTCGCGGTGACAAATGGCGCGTGTCGACACAACCCGCTCCCGTCCCTATTACTCCGAATAATGGAAATTGATTTCATATCGCCGTTTGCCTAAAACTGATTTCAGTTATTCGGGATTATTAAACATGATGGATGAAAATCCAATTGTGTGTGATTCTGTCAGCATAAATAGAGAATAGACTCTGAAGTCATTTATTTGCCATCCATGTCCGATTTCTATTGAAGAAGGACTAAATACGGATGTCCTAAACTAAAATATATTATCCTGTTTTCTTGTGAAGTATTGTAGTTTGAAAAGACAACACAAAAAGGGTGTTTCGTTTATAGTTCGCTTTTATATAACATGAAAGTATGTGCCCATACAACTGTTAATGCCGACACACACACACCGCGACAAAGCTCCAGACATATCAATCTATTTTCTACATGAACACATAAATATTTCACAGACAGAAAAATGAATGCTTCATATACCTTACTCAGACCATCAATCAATTCATAACTCATAAAATCCCACAGCGTTCGGGTTTATTCAACAGTTTAATTTCACACAGTTTGGATAAGAAAGTTTTAGCAAGGGTGAAAATATTCGAAATCGGTACATAAAATCAACGGATTCCTAAATCGTTCTCTACAAAAGGCTACTGGAGTGAACAGAGGCTTGAATTTCGGTCGACGAAAAGGAGTTAGATCAGCGTGAAAGTCCCACCCACGGGTCCACCAGAGGCAAAACAATCACAAAGCCACTCACCATTTCTCGGGACTGACAAATGCATTTTAAACAGAGTATGAAATACATTATTTTGGAGGTCTCCATTAAGATGTAGATAAATATTTTTGTGAGAATTAAACCTGTTATTTGTTTGATAACGCCTACTGAACGCTTTACCTCGGCCCACACAGACCTCTGGAGTGTCTTACCAAATAAATCTTATCACAGAAACTGATGGAAAGTCATTACTAAATAAATTTCTTTTTAAATTGATATGTATTAACAAGACAGACGTATGAAAAACTTAAGTAAGAAGACAGCATCGCCTTCTGATGGACAAAAACGGACGGACTTTTTATCTCTCCAACTA